GGCTGGGGAATTCTGGGAGTTGAAGTCCACGCATCTTCAAGCGGCCAAGGTTGAGAAACACTGATGTAGAGAAACTAAGACCATTTGGTAAAAATATTTGGTGTTGGTATGATTGCTGGTGAATCTTTATAAAGTTACTGCTCTCATCTAGAGGCTTGCAGTGGGTCAAAAGAAATCATTGGACCTTACAAGCACCTGTTATGTAATGTATTCTGGCCTGCTTTTTCAAATGCTTGTTCGCATGCAGTCAAGGCTTGATTCCTTCAGAATAGGCCATTATCCAAACACATGGAACATGCAAATGGTCAACATCCCATTTGCTTTTATTATTAATTCAACTGGACAAGAGATTTAGAGCAGAAAACTGTTAGAGGTTTGTAGGTATCAGGTGCAAAGGGGATGGGTAAAATTGGATGCCAAGTAATTTTATTCTTTAGTATAAATCCTGGGTTGCACCATTTTATACAGATTATTTCCTGGCTGAACAGAAAATGTTGAACCCCCATTTCCCTGATCCAAGGCTAATTCCATCCTAAGCCCTTAGACTGATCTGCCTTTTGGGAATCTGAAGTCTAATTGGGGGGAGGATGCTTTTGTTTAACACTCTCCCTCCCTTTCTTTTCAAAACAGAATTGAAATGGGCCTATTGGGTGATAGTTGCTCTGAAGTTATTATAGCTCAGAGATAGTTGAATCTATGATACTGGATATATTCATCTCAAATGCTTGAAATCAGCTGGTCCCCAGTCTTCTGCTATATGCAGACCACTACATCATCATGGAAGCCTTTTAAGTGTCACCTATAAACTAAGGTTGGGGAAAATACATTGCCTATAGGCCCATATGTTTCCCCCCACTCTTGCACAATGGGGTCTGCAAGATCTCAGTATTAAATAAAATTAATTTACAAATTGCAGAAAACGTGAAACATGGCAGTTTTCTGAGATTTTGGCCATTCCTTAAAAAACATTATTTTGGCATTCACACTATGTCACTCTATCAGTGGTGTACAGATTTCAAGTTATGAATAATGGATATAGAACATTGTGACTCTTCTACACATTTTCTAAATCAAAATGTTTTTCCTTGCAAAACCACAAATATTTCAAAATCTAAAAAAACTTTTCATTTAATTATATGTATATATGTATTTATGTAACTAATACATTATGTATGCACACACACACACACACACACACACACACATATATATATATATGCCATTATATTTTATTTATATTCATATTATTTTTATATCACTCTTTCTCTCATGGAGCTACATTTTCTTTATGCATCAAACTTCACCATTTACTTAGTATTTATGATGTACTGTATATCTCACTTTTCCACTAGGAGCAAAAAGCAGCATGAGTACAACTGTAAATGAGTTGGATTCAGCTTCCCTTCCAAAAAGCAGAACATAGATGTCTTGTGTGAAAAAACTAGGCACTTTTGTTAGCACAATGTGTGTGCAGTCTTCCATGCAAAACTTTTACAACACATCTCCAGAAGAAAGGAAGCACCAGGTCCTCCACCAAGATATGTGCTCAGTTGATATTGTTGGAATCTTTCAGTAACTCTTCTGCAACAGTTTGCAGAACAGCTTTCCTGGAACATCTTCTGATGATCTATCTCTGGATCCAACTCAATATATTCAATTAGTTGAATAATCAATCTTCACAAACAGACATTAAAATAAATTCTATTTCATACCTGCATCCTTTTCAATCTGAAGTACCAATCTTGTATTGGAATGGTCCACTCTTTTTGTGCTGGAAAAAAAGATAGATACCTACAGATTATCCCTGCTGTTTGACAGGGAAGTTTTCTGTTTGTACTCCGTATATGTTTCAATCTGGCTCCCCCAGAATTTAGCTCTCCTTTCTATAATCTGAATGTTCCCTCAAGTTGCCTGAGGCCTAAAAAAGTAACCCAGGTTTTTTCAACATGGTGCCCTACAGCTGAGGGATTACAGGACTTTAAGTTTAGCACCTTTGGAGGGAACAAAGCTTGGGAAGTGCATTGGGTTAGGGAATATCTTTCAGCTCTATTATTTTTCTCTTACTTACTCATTTTTTATCCCTTCACTTATTTATCTTTAAGAAGTCCTTATCTTTTCTCTTAATTGCCCTCATTAGCTCAGATTGGTATTATCACAGATGTATATCAGGTACATACAGTAGGACAGTGGGATCATTCAGTTCAGTGCACAATCTGAGTCACTCAGTGCCTTCATTTTATCTGCATGACTAGTCAGAAAAGATCAAGCCACAGAGCTGAAGAAAGAAAGCCAATGACTAGACAGAAAATTTGAATCATTAGGTTTGTGCATTTTTCAGAAAAAGTTTACCTCACTGAAAAAGCTAGCTTCAGTTCAAAAATATTAAGAATGTGTAGAATATTCACATGGTTGAGTATTTATAGCATTCTCTTAGGGACTCACAGAGATGAAAAAGAAGACTCAACCATGTCTGTTTTTACTTAAAATTTTATTCTGAACCTGATGTTTTCAAATTTAGTTCCAATCTGTAAACAGTAGGAAACAGTTCAGGTTTGGTCCATTAGGGGATCAGATGTTTTCTCTACAGTAGATCTAGAGTCTTGCATTTTCCTAAGAATCTGGGGAAGTCTGAGCTTTTAGAAAAACCTGGAAGATTCAGAGATTAGCTGCTGCCCTTTTTCCTCATTGAGGGAAAGTTCCCCATCCTCCCTATCAGTCTGGTCTTTGGAGTTATATCCCAAAAAGTGTAAGGACTGAGGATTCCCCCCTTTGCTTGGCTGCCTGGCTCTCCCCCCAACCTCAATGGTGCCTGGGCCTCAATCTATACAGTGAGCAGCAGGAGAGAGGACTCTTAAGGGGAAAAAAGAGGAGAAAGGGGATGGGGAAGACTCCCCTCCCCCCTGTGTGTTTGGCCCCTGCAGTTCAATCCAGTTGGGGAGTTCCAAAATGGTGTTTATTGATTTTTCTACACCCCATGGAGTAGGTAGTCATTCATGTAGACCTGAGGCAACAGCCTGTGGCCTGGCTCAGAATACCATGGCCTTCCCTTGAGGTCTCTGAGAAGCCCAAGGCAGAAGGCAGAGTCAGCAGAGAATTATCTAGTGGAGCCATTTGAGATTGGAGGCTGCTGCTTTCTCAATGGAGGTTATGGAGGAATTGGATGCCTGGTGCTGCCAGCAACATCTCCTCAGTCCTTGGGCTATCCAGCTCCTGAGGAGGGGTGAAGGACCCCCAAATGGCTGTGAGGCTCACACAGCTTTGCACCAGCAATTCAGTAGCCACAGCATTGGCTAGCAACTCCTAGGAAAAGTGCATTGGGGACACAAGAGGGAGCATTGGTGTGCCACCAGGGGCCACACCTCCTCCTCCCAGCTTGGCCCCAGCTGATGGAGAGGTCCTCCAACATATCCACAGATAATGAACTTACTGGTGATGGTGGAAGATCTGGTGAACTTGCAAGAGATCAGATAAAAAAAAGGACGTGAAAAGGAAAAATGAAAGGAGGAAAGGTAGAACACATGCTATTTGGAAGAAAGCAGGGCCAGAAATGGGAAAGGAAATGTCTCCTCCCACTGGAAGTAATGTCAGCAATTTTTCTAGGCCAATCTCCAGAGCAAGTGGAACATCATCCCCCCAGAGATTAGATTGGTCCTGACCCTGCTGGCCTTTCAAAAGACCCTAAAAGCATGGTTTTGCCCACAGGCATGGGGAGGAGGGAATGTGGCAGAACTGGCAAAGTGGTTGTTTTGAGTACAGTAATACCTCGGTTCACAAACGCCTCTGTTCACGAACAATTCGGTTCACGAACAGCAGCATTCGCAAATTTTTGCTTCCGTTCACAAACTCCACATCGGGTGATGAACACGACCTGCGCCCATCTTCCCTGCTCTGACACGTGGTCGTGGGTTCCTCTAGGGGAGATCGCGACCGCAGACAGACATTTGCTGTGAAGCTTTTTGGTGTCGCCTCAAGCAGGGTTAGTGTTCTCTCTCTTCATACTGCACTGTACTGTACTTTGTTTCATATTTTTGGGGTTCAAAAAAAAATACATATGGTTCAGAACGGATTAACCTTATTTACATTGAACCTTATGGGAAAATTTGATTCTGTTGGCGACCAATTCGGTTCGCGACCAGAATCGTGGAACGAACTAAGTTTGTGAACCAAGGTACCACTGTATTACTGTTAGATGTGATTATCTCAGCTATGAATTTTAGGCATTTTTATTATAGTTTTTACATGCTTTTGTATTGTTTTTAATTGTTGTATTGTCTGTTTAATCTGTTTGTAAACTGCAGAGGCATATATATGAGATGGGCAGCTATATAAATTGAAATAATAAACAAACAAACAAATGTACAGTCTGATAAGAATAGAATTTGGAGTGTCTTGGTTCCACTAGGTGGGGGGTGGGGTGGCAACTTTACCTCCCAACAAGTCCAAATCAATTTAATGAAAATATTCAGAGACTGAAGACCAGGAGTTTTGTAATAAACTAGGTCACTCCCACTTTCTTGTGAAGAAGTTAAACCCAAAATAAAGTCATAGGATGGTAGCAGAATGTAGGATTACCATATCTGGGCTGCAAACATCCACACGTCCACTAGATGGTAACAAAATATTAAGAGTTTTTTGTAGCTCTCTGCTGCCATCTAGCGGTTTGGATATTAGCAGCCTAGATATGGTAGCCCTAGCATCTCACTGCCCTATTAATGTTTTATCACTTGTTTGTCTCTCTGCATCTGAAGCAAACGTTAGTATAACCATTTCAAAAAGTAGACTTATTAAAGTTAAGAAAAACATTCACTTATACAGGGAAGGAAGATGAACATAATCCTGGTTTAGCCAAACAAGTAGTTTTACTTAAGATTTTGGAATTAACACACACATTTTTTCAAGGATAAATTGAAGTCTTCATATATAGGATATTAAGGATAAATTGTATCTATATGTGGCAAACCTGATGTATCGCCATTAAAACATTGCAAGAACATTTTAAAAACAGATTTATCATGAAGAATATTATGTAATGTAGACTGTTACTTTTTACAGTAACAGAAGCATTAACCCAAAATCTGCACTTATTTTTATCCTTCTGACTTTGAGCTTTATACCTTCTCTGGTTATTTAAAATGCCATTCTCTGGTTATTTAAAATTACAATGGCTATTCTAAAATATCAATAGCAGTGTTTACTAACATAAAAAGTTGTGAACATTTTGGAGTCATTTAACTCTGGGTCACATCTTTTTTGCAGGTTAAAATCTCTACACAATTATGGCAGCTGGATTACTGCAACATGTTAAATGCTACACGGATCTGTCCAACTTTAAATTCTAATACTAAGCATTCCAAACTGAGCTGCATATTCACCCCTGGGCTTTCAGCTGTCAGGTATGATCTCTTTTAAAAATTAACTCCTGGGACAACTGAGCAATGGAGGCTTTTCTCCAGTGGCTTCTTACTTTGAATTTTGTTCATACTGCTCAGTCAGGGTGATAATTAGCTCAGTAATTGAATTTCTTCATGAGTGGAGTTATTCTACACACACGGAGTGCAGGCCCTCTGGAGTTTGCTCAGAGGAGTCCATGGAAATGATTAGCATCTTCTGCAGGGAACCAACATGTTCTGAAAGAGTCCACTAGAATATTAAAAAACACTATCACCGCCACCACCACGCTTTTCTTTAAAATGGTTAGAAAAACAAATGGAAAAGGGTCTACTTGCATGCAGTATTATTTTATGACACACCTGCATTCTTATAGTGATGAAACATACCCTTTATTACATCATTAACCTGAATAACATCCTATTATGTTAAAAATAGCATGCTTTTATGACATCTTGTTTAAAAGTCAGAACAAGCAGATAAAATGGACAGATCATACACTCAATATTTCTGTGGTGTCCAGTTGTGGTTATAAAGAAAGGGAAATCCAGTCTCCCCATCCTCAAAGTTACTTCACTGCTTATTAGGACTATCAGATTTGGGCTGTACTAATTCAGATGACCACTAGCTGGAACAAAATGATCTAGAGCAGTGTTTCTCACCCTTGGTAACTTTAAAATGTGTGGACTTCAACTCCCAGGATTCCCTAACCAGCATGATCATCCAGATTTAGGTGATATTAAGATCTGGCAACCATAATGCTATTTCCTCACATAGTCAAGTCTATCTTTGTAAAAAATAAAGTTTAATAATATATGGATCTCTTTATTCCCCTTTCCTGTAATTTTACGTCTAAATTAGAAGCTTCCTTTCCTTTCCTTTCCTTTCCTTTCCTTTCCTTTCCTTTCCTTTCCTTTCCTTTCCTTTCCTTTCCTTTCCTTTCCTTTCCTTTCCTTTCCTTTCCTTTCCTTTCCTTTCCTTTCCTTTCCTTTCCTTTCCTTTCCTTTCCTTTCCTTTCCTTTCCTTTCCTTTCCTTTCCTTTCCTTTCCTTTCCTTTCCTTTCCTAAAACCCTGTCTCTTACAAGAGGTATTTTGTTGGTTTTGCTTTTCCTTTTAATTTTTGAAACTTAAGTCTGTCCTGTTGTTTTACTTGAACAGATAATCTTCTTCTGGTTCTCCCTCTTCTCTTACTTTGCTATCTTTGACCCATGCAATTCATTGAAATTATACATGTCTTTGTTTGACAGGGATCAATTGAAAAATGGATCTTGGATCTGCTCCCAATTACTATTCATAATTGTAGCTCTTGCCAATTAGACTTATATACAAAACATACTAATGCAGGCAAAAATTGAAACAAAGAAATATGGCATTAACTAAAGA